TTTGCATGGTTTTATTCTGTTTCTATTGCATGGTTTTTAGTGTTTTATGTGACATGGTTTTTATCCACTGTGAACTGGCTGCACATGGGACAAATTAGCTGATAGGGACCACCTGCTGAGGCAGGGGTGTGTCCAGAGGTGGCCTATCAGCTGTGTAAAGACCTTTTAAAAACAGGCTAGCTGGGCACTGAAGGAGAGAGGCCCCAGACTGGAAGGTTAATGCGAGATGGCCAGTGTGATGCGGCGGCCAAGTCCTGACCTCATGGAACAGCAACAGTAAGAGACAACGCGTGTGATTGGCAGCAGGGCAGAGGTTTACCTCTGCCTGCATTTGTGAGTAGGGTCTCTACTGTTGTTTACTGGGTGCAGCTGGATTGGGAGAGGGTCACCATGGCCATGAGCCAGGGCCGCTTCTGGGACCATTGTTCTGGCCCCTATTTGTTATGTTGCAGGACACCGACGCAAGGGGACCTGTGGCGATGGTCACATCATGGATTCGGGTGCAGAACGCAAGCCGGGCTGGGAAGTGATGGGCCAGCGGAAGGACAAGAAGATGGGTGGCTCTTTCTTGTCTGCTGAAGACGGGGCTGGCGTGGACTCTGCTCTAAAGGAGGAATTCCTGGCCTGCTGATGGACCCATAATGAACATGTGGCCTAATTATAGCAGGGGGGGGGAGTTGGTGAATGTAGAAAATGGTAGTTTTACGGGTTTTAGAATTGTTTTTAGTAGAGAGCAAACATTTTATTACATACATTTTAAGGGTGTTTTTATTTGTGCTCCCTGGCCTAGTAGTAAACTGTTTCTGATCAGACCTGCTTCCTCTCTGTGCCCGTGGTATCTGACTTGCTTGCTCCCCCTTGTATTTTAAAGAATCTTTCTTTTTAGCGTGACATTCTGGCGCGACCGCTTTAGTGTTTGCAGCGCGCTACATCTGCACATATCCATGGACAATAAACGCAATTCTGATTCAGATTTCAAACTATTTAAAAGACAATCAGGTGTTCTTCATCAAATAAGATGCCACACAAATTATTTGTGCCACACTAGCTACACTCTAAACACGCAAAATGTCAAACATCTCAAACTCTCCCTCACACTTTTTTTTTTTTTTTGGTTCTATACTGTACACTTTCTTTCCCCACGGGGACCAATAAAGTACACTTTCTATCACTGCAGTCACTACTAAAGCTTCCCTCTCTTCCCAAACACCCAAATGATATGGTTGACATTTTTTTGTAGTATTTCTTTGTAAATCTTATCCTGGTTTCCTGCATTGAGGTCTTTGCTCTCTGTGACCATCAGAGTGAAGAGAAAATCAGCCTCAGAACATCTTCTGGTTTATAACTAAAACTGTTTTACACACAGAGGACTCGCCATCACATTGCTTACAACACTTATTTAAAAAAGTAGAGATCTGTCAGTGAGACTCACAGCACTTTTTTTAGCCTGTGTATAATTTAAAAAAAAATAAACATCACAAAAAATCACACTGAAAGAAAAAAATTCAACAGGTTTACATGTGAAATGTAGTGAATCTCTAAGGGGCTCAAGGGGCAACCATCCATGACTTCAAGTTTCTTTTGAAAATATTGACAAGTGTGGTCTCCAAAGAAACCTTAGAATCTAAGCTAAATACCAAAAGACAGCAAAAACAACAGCTGATTAGAAGAGTGGTTAACGTAATTGTGCAAAAGTCCGCTACGAAGCCATAAAAATATAGAACTTTACAATAGCTACAAAATTTATATTTTTTTTATTTTTCCTGCAGCAGAAGTTATGTAGATGATGTTGGAAAATGTCAGAGTGTCAGGATCAGACTGAGAGAAATGTCTGAATCTATGTTGGATCAACTCAAACTAACTCTCTGGATCAACACTCAGTTTGATGAAGCTGTTTGGAGCTGTGTCCGGCGGCTTCTCTCTCAAACCTGGTTAAATCACCATGGTAACGTATGCTGAACACATAACCTGCATTGTAAATATGGAGCTGTACATTGTTACAGAACAAATATAAAGTTTCAATAAAAAGTTTCAGAGTATCAGGATCAGACAGAAATATGTGAGTGTGCAGCTCCATAAATCTATAGTTTGATAACAATCATAACACTGTGAGCTGTAAAACACCATCAGCTGTATTTAATGAAAAGATGATGAAACCTACTGACACGGCTCCATCCTTCATTTCTCTGTCCAGAAGATCCACCCGGTTCTTAAAAGATGGATGCTGGTTTTCTGGAACAAAGTAAACACTGGCATGTCTTGAACAGGAAACTGGTAAAAAAAAAAAGAAATCATACAAATACAGAACAACAAATATTTGTGACAGGATTTATTCAGCTCAGGGACATATTTTAGACACAGCTCAACACTTTCATGTCTCTGTTCCAGTAAAAAAAGTTTATTTCTATTACACTTGTTAAGACCAAGATCAGTCATTAAGCTTTATGGTAATTTTAAAAAAAAGCCAGCAGCACAAAGCAAAATAAACACATGACAAAAACAAGACATTAAAAATAAGAACAAGACGTTAAACTGAAGTCTGAAGCTGACAGGGAGCCAAAGCAGAAGCTTAGAAAGATTTATGAGAATGAGTTAAAACCCTTGCACAAGCATTTTGGACAGAATTAATAAATGTTTTAATCAAACGAGAAAACCATTAATAATCAATAAGAGAGCACATAAAAGCACAGACGAGCATCTTCTGAGACACAACAGCTTCACATTGTTTTCATTTTTTGCTGCTGATGTAGTTTAGCCTTAGTTTCCTTCCCATGTGTTTGCTGTCAGTCTTCTACGAGCAAAACAGAAGCAAAGGCCGTCTGTTCAGTCAGTGAAACATCAAACAAAGATCAAAGCTTCCTCCATGAGCCATGCAGAGGAAACACTGAAGCAAACACAGACAATGAGGCACAGAAACATTAAGAAAACCAAAGAATCAACACAGAGAGAAGAAAATAATAGAATCAAAGTGAAACTAGAAACATTGAGAAAAATAATGAGATCAAAGTGTTCCTCACACTTTGTGTTTTAGGGATCTAAATGTTTTAATTGTTACATTAAGAAAAAAGAAAACAATCTTAAAACCTACTCAGAACTAAGTCTGGATTTTGTTCTTCCACATAAGTCCAGGACGCAGCCGAAGGTCAGACTTCAATGTATCTAAAAAGAGGTAATCAATGTGTTTAGAGATTCAGCCAACTCTGATTATAGCTGCAGATAGTTCAGGGTCACTGCATGAAGGTAGAAATCTGTGTGGAGAGACAGGAAAAGAAAGTAAAGTGACAAATGAGATCAGAGTCTTTTGAAATAAAACAGGAAGTGATCGAATAGAGAGACAAGATGCAAACCCAAACACAGACAGGGAGGCAAAGAAACATTAGGAAACCAAAGAATCCCCACAGAGAGAAGAAAATAATAGAATCAAAGTGAAACTAGAAACATTGAGAATAAAGATGAGTTCAAAGTGTGAGGAGGTCTGATGTTCCAACGGTGTTCAGGCTGAGAATTATTACCTGCAATGCTCCAGTTTGACCTCATGGTGGCAGTGCTGTCTCACTGTTGTCATGGCTATAGTCAGACTACAGGAGATAACTAGAGGGCTCTACTAAAACTGATGTTTTATCATGTTTTTATTACATCATGCTGACACCAGCCTGATAATAGCTGTTGATTCAAGAGGGTGACATAGGTGGTTGTCCAGGGTAGCAACATGGTGGTGGTGGGGGGGGGGGGCATCTTGGCATCAGCAAAAAATCAAAGGTTGCTGCTGGTACCAATGCCCCGACATCATGCTGGCTTATTTTGGGCATGAGCACCGATTGGTGTTCTATTGGGAGTAAAGGCGCCTCCGTTTGTGGGGTGTGCCTGCTGCTTGCCAAACATAGCGAGGAGAGGGTGGGGCGATGGGAGTTTCTCTGGCTGGAGCAGCATCTAAAAACCAGCTCATAAAATGAAAACAAAATGAAAACAAACCAACAAAATAGGGCTGTCAATGCCGTCATCACAAGTAAAAATTTTAATGGATCTAATCCATTCGGAGCGCAAAATGACTCAAAATCCCTGATATGTCTCTGTCAATGCATTTCAGGCAGTTTGTCCAAAGTTTGCCCATTCTGGTCTCCAAATGGGTTGATTGCATTAAAAAATTTAATCACATTAATTGTGATGACAGCGTTAAGGAGTTAACGTTGCCAGCCCTACACTAAACACAAAAACAGAAGACATTATGATATAGACTTAGAATTTGCACCAATGTTTTTTTCTAAATTCTATCACACACATATACGCGAAAAGTGAGCGCGAGGGCCCTCGGCCCGCCTGTTTGCTGCTGCTGCTGTGCTAAAGTCTCACACGCAAGTTGTTGAAAGGGAAGGGGGCAGGCTACTTCCAAATACTGTAGGTCTATTAGTCTATTAGTTTATGTTGTGGGGCTGGGTGTTGATCATGGGGTGCAAAATAACTGATAGAAGATGGAAAAGAAAAGGTCAAAGCCACCAGGTCCTCAGTTTAGAAAAAAATGGGAAATGAAACAAGATAACATTCAGTAGTAGGGCCAGGACTCCGCAGTCTATTTACACCTACAGACCAGTCGACACTCTTTCAGTGATGAGGACGTACACATCCTGGACAGGGAGGAACGCTGCAGAGGGAGTGTTCGCCCAGTGCACCAAACAGGACCGCCCCTGTTTCCGAGGTTATTAAATGCACCACAAACCGCAGAGTCGGAGTGACCTGCTGAAAGTCAGATCTGTTCTTCAAATCAGACTTTCAGCTTTATTTCAAGCTTAAATGTAATCTGATGTAGTCAATATTTAAAGTCAGGCTCTGTTATTGACTGAAAACTCCGACAGACTCAGACATTTAGAACAAACTAAGAGTCGGATCAGCACAAATACTGACACAGAGATGGCTGCTGGCACTGCGCTGCTCTGCTGCACTTTGCTGTTTGTCCTTGTCTTCGTCTCTGCAGGTGAGATTGAACTAAACTGAGTTTCTCTCTGTGAAAACAAGAAGTACAGGAGGATTATTTTCATATGGATTCATAAAGCTAACATCTTGTAGTTTCTGACACTTTGCATGTTTAGCATGAGGCTAAAATTCCCCCTCAGTGGGTCACTGGTGACCTGCTGGATGTTCAGAGGTTCATTAAATCCGACATGACTAAAAACTCAAATGTCAAAGGAAATAAACAAAAAATTTTAAAGTCAATCATTCTAATCATAATTGTACTTTGACCTTTAACCTCTCTGCTCTGTGTTGTTTCCTCTTTCAGACCAGAAAATCATCACAGCTGTGTCTGGACAGGACGTCACTTTGACATGTCAAGCTCCAAACATCAACATCACAGCTGTAGAGTGGAGGAGAGCTGACCTGGAAGATGAATATGTGCTTTTGTACCAGGATGATCAGTTTGATCCCGATCAACAGCATCCATCTTTTAAGAACCGGGTGGATCTGCAGGACAGACAGATGAAGGATGGAGACGTGTCTTTGATTCTGAAACATGTGACAATTAATGACTCTGGAATATACGAGTGTCGTGTCTTCAGAGAAGAAACAAAGTTATGGAAGAAAATCAGCATCATCAACCTGACTATTGTTCCTCTAGGTGAGTGAGTAGAGTTGAGTGTGTGTGATCAGAGGTGAAGCTGCTTCCTGGTTGTTGATGTTTCTTTGTTGTATGGATGAGCTGGTGGATATCAGAGGTAGACAGATAGAGAGAACAGTTTCAGATCTGGCCCCAGATGTCAGCCTAATGTTTACCTTAATCAAGCCATGTAATAACAACATGTGCCGGAACATAATAGTGCAAAAGTAACATGACAAAACTGTTCAGACAGTGAATGGTCTGATTCTTATGTAACGCTTTTCAACTCTCCTGGATAACATGAAGTGCTCTATACAACATGCCACATTCACACACTTTCTCTAAACTGAGTGCTTCCTAACTATATTCATACATATTCACACTCTTGACATGCAGATTAGAGGAGCCAGGGATCAAACCACTAACCTTCTGATTAATAGGTGACTTGCACTACCTCCTGAGCTACAGCCACCCGCTGTTAAAGATGAGTAAACCCTCACTAGGTTTCGGATAAGGTGTACAATCAAAACTGCATTTGAAACGTTGGCTACCATAGAAGTATAGTACATGGCATTTGGGTCTTCTAACTAAAATTGGAACATAATCAGTGCCATCATTGCCAGACCTGGCCCATGTCTGGATGTGTTGAGTCTGTGTTTCCACAGGCCCGCTAGTTTAGAGACTTATTCTCGTGTAGTATATCCTCAGCTATGCACCACTTTCTTTTGACAGTGTCAGTGTAGATTTAGATTTCACACAGCTCCTTGCATCATTCACCTCCTATTGCATCAAAACTTCACCATTAGTACATGTTCTAAACGTGCTTAGCAATCACCCTACTTCTCATCCATCTCATACACAGTAAACTACATCCTGCAAGTAAACAAATAAATGTCAACAGTCAAACAAGAACAATCAACATTCTCAAAATCATATGTCACTACAATCCAACTGTATACAGACATTGGCATTCAAACAGTCTTCTTTATGACTCCTATCAACCCCCCAAAATCTTCTCACTGTAGGCATCCTTCCTGTGGGGGTTAGAGTCAACTGGTGAGTCAACTGCATTTACAACTCTTCTCCAGGTGACGTTGTACAAATTCCATGGTAAATCCCCAACTTGGACTGATCCATTGCCTGTCATACACATGGGTAACTGGCCTGCTTCCACTTTGTTTAGCAATATAATGTCCTGCAGCAGGTCAGGTACTTAGGGTCAGGCTAGCAGGTCTGTCGTACCAGAGCAATTCACCTTCACAGCTACTGGCAAATCAACTTTCCCATTCAGGTTCAGGGGAGTTAAGAAGTTGGCAGTGTTCCAAGCATTTCTTACTCCTGGGTGTGTGGCTAAGGCAAGCAAAAAAACTGTCTCGCTCTCTGTGGCTATATGGCCACAGCCCAGAAGAATGTGTAGATAGTGGCATCACAAGCATAACAATTGGTCTTGTTGTTCATGTAAGCAGTTGGGTTCATAAACTGCCACCAGTAGTTCATTGAAAACCCATGCAGGTGCTGGGTGTGGTTTGCTTTGTCCCAGTGCGCTCCTGTCAACCCACTCAGGGTCAACAGGCTCAAGAAGGTGCACAGCACATTCCTTAGCCATTCTAAATTTCTGGTTTCTGGATTCTGGTTCCGTTGTTTTCTTCACCAGGATTGAGACAAGAGGCCCTTGAGCAGGGGTTGGCAACCCTAGGCACGGGGGGTTAACTGATGGCACGACCATAGCTGGACTAGCCATCGGGCATACCAGGCATTTGCTCGGTGGCCCGATAATTTTCTTTTTTTTTTTTTGTAACGGTATTAACAACGAAAAGTGGTGGATTGGCCAGATGCTGCCCGGTGTGTAAAAATAACTGTTTGGTGGTGGCATCGCGGAGCTTCCACAGATTCAGTAACATTAGCAAGTGGTGGAGGCTGGCAAGTGGATCAGGGAGAGGGGAGGCAGGAGGAGCAGAGACCCGAGGCAGCAGCCAGTCCAACTGTCAGGTGAACTGAACTTCAGGAAAGAAATTATGACCTGCAGTCTATCTGGGTCAGATATTGTCACGGCGAGTGAGGTGAGCCGTGTGGAGGAAATGAAGGAGGATCCAAGTGCAGGCAGTCGTGAAGGTGTAAAGGTGGTTTATTGAACATGAAAGTAAATACAAACG